AAAAAAGTGCAGAGATTTGTTGATTTTGTGTGAATTTCCATAATAACTCAAGAAACTGCAGGAGCTGATTGATATAATTTGGAAGTAAACAGATAAAAACTGCATTGATTTGACTGATAACTTCATATTTAAGCACATTTAGAGTTTAGTCTACAATCTAGAGGACCAGATAAAAAGATGTGGCAGGCCGGATTTGGCCCATGGGCCTCGAGTTTGACGCGTTTTACAAAGAAGCACCAGGAAATATTTCAGACATGCCACACTTTTCAGATATGACCTTTCCCTCATTCTCCACAGTTATGTGCTGCTTTTCAATAAAATCCAGGGCTTTTTATGGCTTTAAGATGGAAAAACATTAAAGGTTCAAGGGGTGTAAATACTTTTTAGACTCTAGGTTTGTTTTTGGACCCACCTGGTTCTGACTGGTTGCCTCTGATAAACCCGATTTGTTCTGAACTCCTCCTGAATTTCTCCTAAAAGGTTCTCCTGGGGCATCTGGAAAGAGATAAAAACATATTAAATGATCAACATTTAATCCTCTCAGCTGGTAAATAAATTAAGTAAATACCGTGTTTACTCCTTTGGTCGTTTCTTTCTCATCTCTGTCTTTTGTTTTGCTTTTCTTCTTTTCTCCTCCATCAGCAGAATCAGGGCTGAAACTCAGTTCTTTCTTTTTAGGATTTTTTTGCCTCTTTCTTGCCGTTTCTTCCACGTCGTCTTCATCTCTCTCCCTCTTCTTCTTCGTACCTTTTGATTTCAGGCCGTCTTCACTGTTATCATCTGCTAAACGTGACGACTTTCCTCTTTCTGTTTTGCTTTTTCCAGAATCTTCTTGAGCAAAATTTGGATCTGGATCTGCTAACTTTTCTTCTTGACCCAAATCTATTGACTGTTTTCTTTCACTCTCTAAATCTCCTTCAGCTTTTCCTTCACCGACTTCCTTCTCACGTTTTTTCACTTTTATTTCCTGATTTCCTCCTCCGGGGATCTCATCAGCTTCCATCTCCCCAAACACCTGACATCTCTCCAACCAGTTCCTGTCAACGACGCTCAGTCTGTTGGCAACAGAGGGCCGTTTAGCCAAACTCCCTCCTGACCCGACGAGAAAAGGCGGGCTTCGTTTAAAACCAGCCGAAGCGCCAAGATCGACATTCCGACCTGGACTTCCTGGGTGACGATTTTCTTCTTCATCTCCTGCATCTTGGTTTTCCTTTCCTGTGCTTTTAGGGGCAAACTGAGGGGATGAAGGTGATAAAATAGAGGAGGATCTGGTCGCAAAAGAAGCTTCAGCGATCTGAAACTGGGAATTAGCGCCGATTCTAAGATCATCATCGACAGAACTACTGGTAGCAGCTTCTACTGGCTCTGGTTCAAATCGTTCTTCAGGCTCCGCTGCATGGAGAGACGGAGAGGTCACCGACCCAAACGGAGGCCTCATCAATCTAGAACAAACAAACACAGGTTAAAATCAGACTGTCTGGAGAGGTGGATGGAGGAGCAAAACATTTTACTCAAGTGAGGACTAAAAAGCATGTTTTTAAGAAATTACTCATGAGTAGAAAAAAATAATTCATAAAAAGAGTGACCAAGTACTGAGTCAGTGTCATTTCATTGAAGAAAAAATGAAAATTATTTAATTTTTCAGACTCTATAACAAAAGGAAACAAGTCTGGCAAAAGAAAAGAACAGCAGAGCAGCTTATTTTCATAATTATAAGAAATGAATAAAACATATGAAGCACATAGTTTCAACTAAATGATTTTTATAGACCTTATGCCGTTGACGTCATTCTGTTGTATATTAAGGAAATTAGTATTATCAGATAAAAAAAGTAGTCAAGGCAATAAAATCTGGTTTAATAATCATCAAACAGGCAAAGTATAAAGTTATGTGCAAGTTTAAAGACTAAAATTTAAAAAATATTACTAATAATTACAAAATAAGGCAGAAGACTTTTTCCAAAAAAAAATTCTCAATTTCATACAAAATTAATACTTGCATCTAATGTGTGTGTTAGAAAAGAATAATGTACTTCAGGTGAGAATATAAAGTTTTTACTGTATTTTATTAATCAACAAAATAGCCATACAAAGCTGGTGTAAAAACAAGAAGTCTCACTTTGCCATAAATCCAAAGTGTGTGTCTGTGTTTCATTCCTTTTTGGCTAAAATATGTTTGTTTATTCTTCACTGAAGTTACGAGTTTTGAATAAAACATCCAGTTTTTTTTACTCAAGTAAGAGGAGCAACAGTTCACAATAATAATAATTACAAAAAAGTACAGTGCAGTAAAACAACATTTTTTTTCCTAAACATTACTCAAGTAAATGTATCTATATAAATGTATATATAGATACAAAATATACAATTAATTTATAATGGGTGATTTTAGAGTGGACAACACAGTACCTACAAGAACAGGAGGAAGGGAGAGCAAGATGGATGGATGTCAAGGTGAACCAGTGAGGGTTACCTTAGGGAGAGAACCTCCTGGTGTTCATCCTCAGATGACGTTTTAGCAGAACCAGCTGATAAACTGAGTCTGTCGTTCTGTATCGGTTGATCATCTCTTAAGGAATTGAGAGGAACTCGACCCGTGCGAAGGGATTCCTTCAGAGAAACTGGTTTCTCCTACAGATGTGGGAGAAAAGAACCACAGGAATAACACATCTTGTTTGTTTTTAACAAGTGAACTTGAGCCTTTATTTTCTGGTTCCCACCTTACTGAGTGCAGAAAGGTTGTTTTTAAGCTTCAGGGCGTAGTGCTGCGATGAAGCCACGAGACTGCTGTGTTTTTCCCGAGACGTCAGCCTGGAAGCAGGGAGCGGCATTGCTTTGCGGTTGAGATGGGCTCCCCAACAATCTGGTTCCTGCTCGAAAACAAAGACAAACAACTGTTTAGCCCTGTGTTGGTCTTTCATATTAAACTAAACTAAAACACCTTGTCGTTTATGTTTGCAACAGCAGTAAAGCTGTAGAGGTTGGTATGTAGTCACAAATCAGCAGTAAGACGTTTTCTTCAGCACCTTATTTGTTGGGTTGATCTCCTCTCCATGGCCACTGGATGCATCCTTTGCTTTGGCTTGTTTTAAACTCCTGTACTCCTTATACAGCCCTGCAAAGACACACACTTTATTTCTCCAATGCATCAAGGGAAAAAGAAAGTTATCATGCTGCAGTGAGATGCTTTGCACCCACTCCTGGTCTCCTGAGGAGCCTGGTCAATGTCCTCCTATAGAACAACACAGGCGTTACTGTCAAAGAAAACCTGCAGTGGATCCTGTTTTTATGCGGATGTGTCGTTTAAATCACCTTAGTGGGTTTCTTCTGGTGCTGCCGGACAAAACCCTTCTCCCAGCTTTTCAGCAGCAGTTTTACCTCGCTGTAGCGATCCATTTGGACTTGGTTCAGGACCAATAACAGTTACAGGTCATTTCGTGGTCATGATCATTTCCAGGATGCACATCAGGCTAAAGCTAGCAACCGGTCAGGCTAAAGCTAGCAACCGGTCAGGCTAAAGCTAGCAACCGTCGCTGAGAAGGATCGGACATTTTCCATTAATTTCACATCCTGAAGTATTCCGCTGAGCGACTATGTTTTTATGAAGTGGCTTTACCGCTTGCTCTGTTTTGGTGAAAGCGGAAGCGGCGTTTGTTGTTTAGGATTTTCCCGCGCCTGTGTTGCCAGGTTCGTTCCTGAATCCCCCGATCCTACAAAACCCATAGCTAACTAGCTAAAAACAAAAACAACAAAAAACTTCTAGCTGATTAGTTTCGAAATGAAAGCAGCCTTCAATGAAGATATGGGAGAATACATAATGTTTATTTTCATATATTAAAAAAACGATCATTTTGGAAGATACTAAATTTCCGTTGGAAATGTCAAAATAAAGAGACTTTTATTGTGAAAGGAGTACTTCCGGTGCTAAAGGGCTAATTGTCAGACACTCGGCCGTGAGTCAAAACTAACTACATTTGATTATAAATGACTGTGACGTAATAGTCAAACAATGTAGGAATATAATCCCTTAAATTAGGATATTTTAAAGACAATAAGAACCAAATGTCTTTCTATTAAGAAATTCTTTCAAAATTATGTGCAAATTTTACCTTTGCTTTTTGCAAAAATATATTTAAGCTATTACTGTTCCTGTTTGCTTTGTGACTCAGATATTGACATTTCAAACATTGCAATGTTTGAAATGTTTTCAAAACTTGGATCATATACAAGACGTTTTAGGATTAGATTTTATTAGATCAGATGTAAGGAAATCTTGCACTCCATCAGTGGATAAAGTATTAAACCAATGTTAATTTAATCCTTCTGGCTACTTTTGTTTTACTCAAGTGAAATTATTTTATTTAAAGAAGTGCTGAAATATTTCATCACAAAAGGCCACTCATTATACCAATATATCAATGATTTAGGAAACTACTTGTGATGTCTTTTTTCCCCCACATTGTCTTTTATTTATCTTTTTCTGCTGAGTCACATTGCATTGTTTTTGTTCTGAAGTATGACTTGTTGTATAGTCTTGAATCTTAAATGTTTTTATAAAAATGTTGAAAAAAAAAAAGATTTAACAGACCAAAATATGGAGGGAAAAATTGGTGATTGACTTGGAAAATGTGTGCAAGGCTTGAACAATATTCAAAATATTGGATGCATAAGAAAATATTTAAGTCATAGAAGAGTCAAAATCAAAATATCCAAATTTATGTGTATAACTGTTATTTCTTGCCGATAATTTTATATCCTGATAATCTAATTTTAGTCTTGCAACAAATAAACTTAATTTTGTAAAGAATCAATACTTTAAATATCCACTATTCTATAAATTTATATACTGCAAAATGTCACAACAGTTTTAGGCAGAAAACAATCCAGTGCCTCATGTAGAATGGCAGATTAAACTCCAAAGGATCTGAAATAATCATTTATTCAATAATCTCACATAAAAATGCCAACATTTTTATGAAACTTTAAAAAAAGAAAATCAAGTTTGATCTGAGAGATTTATCATTTTATTAATCAGAAGAGCACAGAGTAAGAGTGAAAAAGAGTTTGTCTTAATCTACAGACGGTACTTTAATTTGAAAAGTATAAACTTTGCTAAGAGGATTGTGTTTCTGAGAGCAAAGAAATTTAAGACATGATCAGTTCATTCCAGCAGTGAAACTTCATGGAAGTATGCTCCCAGCATCTTGACTCCTTGGATGTAATTTGATCTGAAAAACGTATGGAAAAAAAGAACAAGATTGAAAATTATGCAAGACAATAAAACAATTCCAGTGTTTGTCAGTGTTTGATAAGCCTGGAGGGCCATCAGGCTTAGCTTATTCATTCAAGTTGTTTTTTTTTCACGTTTAAATTTTTAAGACTTTGTAGTTGGTGTTAATGTTCTAATCTTTCAATAATAAAATTATATTTTCAAACTTTTTCTTAACTTTAAACGAGCGCCCAAACCACCAGGCTTAGCAGGTTTTCTGGGAGAAACCTTGAATTCTTCCATTTCTTTTATGTTTTATTTCTTAATGTGTCTCTGAAATTAGATTCATTGTGTTTGTGACAAACCTGTTGAGTTTCTCATTTTGTGAGTGAGCTCCGTCATCGGAGGATCCAACAGGAAGCAGCATGACGTTCCGGCCTGTCGCCTCCTGGAAGGTCAGAGTGACGGGAATGCTGCCGCCCTCACGGGTCAGGTCCGGCTCCACCCCGAAAACTGGGCCGCATCAGGGAGACGGAGGAAAATAATCGTCCATATGAACAAATGAGTAGAATATTGATTTGTTCAGGAAGACTAGTGTATGTAAAGATTTGAACCAACCTGTCTTCATGGCCTTTCGACCAGCCATGTAGTGAGGGTGGTTGAAGTCAGACACCCAGGCTTTGGCCCCGTGGCCCATCGTTACATTCAGTTTGTTGGGACTTCCCAGATCAGCAAACTTCTTCTGCACGTAATCAACCACCTAAATAATAATAATAATAATAATAACAGAAACTCTGAGTAAAAAACAAACATGGTGTTTTTAAAACATCAGCAGACAGATTGAAACTGGTTTTATTGTTTAAATGTCCCATTTGATGCAAGATTCAATGATTTCATCAGAATATAAGCAAATGAATTATTAATTGTTTAATTGTTAAACTGAATTTTACTGCATATTTCACAGTTTATCTGCATAAGGGAAGGAAGTGATAAAAGGTGGAAAGAAACAAAGAAAAGACAGAAGAAGACAGGAAATAAAAATGGCAGGAAGAAAAGCAAACAGAATGATGGAAAAGAAAGAATAAATGAAGATAGAAGAACGTAAAGAAGGAAGAAAAGATATACGAGAAGGAAATTAGAAAAACAGAAATGGAAAAAATAATGCAAGAAAGAAATTAATTGTAAAAATAGGGATAGACAGAAGGAAAGAGGGAATGAGGCAAGAAAAAGGGAGAGAAAAGGTAAGAAAGTATGCAAAAAACAGGAGACAGTCAAAGGTGGAGGAGGAGTAAAAAAATAAGAAAAGTTAGAAAGTGAACAAGATGAAAGAAGGACAGGGAGGAACGAGTGAAAAAACAAAAAGGGTAGAAAATGGTAAAAAAGGAAAACAAAAGAAGGAAAGAAAGAAGAATAGAGCAAGGAAAGAAGAAGAGATACATAGGTGAGAAGGGATGAAAAAAGAACAATAAAAATGAATGTTTATTATTTGAAACACTGCATTATCATATTTCTGATCTCATTGGCTGAGGTTTTATTGACCTCACATTTACAAGACGCTGCACTAAAACAAATCACTCTGCCGTCAAACTCATATTTTACGGTTTACCTGCTTCTCCACGACTTTGGGGTCCATGTCCGGGACGAGGCGGATGGAGAATTTTCCGATGACCTTGCGGGGGATGACGGTCTTGGCTCCAGCTTCAGAGAACGCGCCCTCGATGCCGTGCAGAGAAAGAGACGGATACCTCCAGCGGTGCATCAGGATCTGCTCCTGTAACCAGACAGAAGCAAAGTGTGGGTGGTTCTGACTGAGGCAGGGAGTGAAGTAAATATCAGGTTTACTCACCTTGCTGTCATGCAGCAGCTTCCCAACTCCCACGTCTTTGCAGTACTCAGACAAGTCAAAATCGATCTTCTCGTACAGTTTTTTCTCCTCTTCTGTGAGAGGAGCCACGCTGTCGTACATCCCAGGAATCAAAATCTTTCCCCTCTTGTCAACCAGAGACCCTGTGAAGGTAACGTTAACATACAAGAACTGCAAAAACGTGTAATTCAACAACAATTTCCATTTACCCAGGAGTGAAATGAGATCAGTCATGGCCTCATGAACCGAGCCGCCAAAGACGCCGGAGTGAAGGTCTTTGTCGCCGCACTGCACCTGAGATTCAGGTGAAAAGGTAGAAAATCTATAAAAATGTCATCAAATAAAAAGCTGTTTGTTAGCGTGAATGCTAAATGCTCCTTTTTTCCACTTTGTTCCATTTCAGTTATTCAAGTTTTACCAAATTCTGCTCATTCAGGACATTGGAGCCACATCTTTCGGTATTAACTTCTACCGTTTATGAAATATTCAGCTTTTTGTTATTATCTTGGGCCTTATTGAAATGAATTGAACATCCAGTAACTTCTGAAAAATTCTGATAAAACCTTGCGCTCTTTCACAGCCAACTATCTCTACGTACATTCAGCTAGAAACTTTAAAACGTGAACAACTTCTGTTCACTTCAGTTTTTTCATATCTTTTACAAATTTTATAAAATCTCTCTGCAAGGTTTTGCTTGATTACGCTCAGTCAAGGTTTCCCAGACCAACTCTCCTGCCCATTTCTTTCAGATTGCAGAATTCATGATGCATTTTCGCATTTTGTTCCTACTGAAGTGAATTTACCTCTAAAAAGAAATAGCAGATTCCTCTGAGGCCGTAGGTGATGCATGGTTTGGTCTTTCCCAGCCAGTAGTTGTCAGAGATGCAGACATAATCCACGTCTTTGAAAAACGAATCTTTTCGGGAGAACACAAGATCGTCCAGACCCTCAGACCCAGATTCCTCCATCCCCTCGAAGCAGAACTTGATGTTGATGGGAAGATCCTGAAGGAAAGATAAAGACATGTGGTACTTCCTTTAACAGGTTAGGATGGATCTACAGGCTAAACAAAACATGTTCATTAAATTTTTTTCACAAAAAGTTATTCTTAGATAATGACATTTTTGTTTATCCTATTTGAGCTTCTTTCAGATTGAACCATTTTAGGGCATCTTGTCACTTTAAATCCAAATAAGCTGCTGCTGGCCACGCCCCGAAACTCAACTTTTACATTCATGTGAAAATGGCTGCAAACAGATGCGCAATTATGCAACCATACATCTTTGAAAAGCAGAAGTGGAGCCCCCTGTACAACCAACAAGGATGCAGCAAGTGGTTTCTGGAAGGTCAGTCAACAACAAAACATTTGTCTTTTCCAGCAGCGGGTAAAACCAGCTGACCAAATGTGCTGGAGTTCTGCTTAGGTCGCTAGGTAAAAGGCTGGGCTTCACTGGGGTTGCTAGGTGACGGGCAGAGCCTGATTTATGATGTTGCATTCGTTAAGTTTTTGAAACAGCTCTTTTTCCAGACACCAATAAACAGCTGAGTGTTTTCATTTTCAGCGCTTGGGTTATTTTTATACCGTGTTCAAAATTATTTTGCAAGTAATATTTTCTCAGATTTTCCTAAATGGTCAGTATAATTTTCAAGTCATGAACTATTACAGTATAAATCTAATTTTACTGAACAAAGCTCCCCATGAGAACAGTATTTATTTCAAAAATAAACTCAAAATGCACTGCTCCAAATTATTATGCACAGGAGATTTTCTAAACATTTTATGGATTATAAAGAATTGCAAACAGTCAGTCATTCTTCAAATTATCATTTTGGTTAATACCAAAACAAAAAATGTAATCTTTATGACACTTAAATCCAATTTGCAAAATAATTTGGAACACGGTGTAGGAGAAGTTGAGACCCAAATAGAAATACAACATGCAAAATGTGAATTGTGCATAATAGATCCCCTTTAAATCTCAAAGTACTAGAATCACAAGGTCCCTTGATTCTGTCGCCAGGAGGACGCAATAAAAAAAAAAAAAAACTCAACAGCACATGATACATGCTGTAAAGTCATCTAAAATCTCAGGGTTAATTTTTATCTAAAAAATAAAAGCTTTCAGTGGGCTGTAAACAGCTGAAACCAGGGAAGTTATAGGTGATGAAGACACTATGAGAACTTTTCCCCAAATGTACTCAGATCCAATTCAGAGGTGGATTATCCCTGTGCTAATGCGAGTCAGTTTTCTGTTTTTCTGCTTGTTGACGACTTCAGAGATCTCAGTAAAACATCCTGAAATGCAGGCGACAGACTGCAGCACATCCAACTTTCACATAATGATTAAACCAAGGCTTGGTTCTCACAGGTGCTCTAGCTCATTTTCAAACCTGAATTTAAAAAACTGTTGGACGTAATTTACACCGGCTTTGAAGCTCCAGATCACACTCCCAAGAAGTACATTTCTGGAGAAAGCTGAAGGAGATTTACAAGAAAGTTAGTTTACGTTTTTTAAAAAGTTGCTGAACCTTCCCAGGAGCGGCCCGTCTACCAAATAGCTCCAAAACCACACCGACTGCTCATCCAGGAGGAAAGAAAAAGAACCAAGATGAACATCTAGTCGATTTCAGATTCTTCTATGTGGGGTGCCACAGGGATCGATGCTTGTGTCTCATTCAAACCCACCGAATACAAATCTTTAAAAGTCTGGATTTTCTACTACTTTTTCATTTTAATTTGGCTGAAAGAAGACTAATAAGTTGATTTTGCAACATCCCTTGGTACAAAATAGGCCCTATAAGCCTGAGAAAATAATAATTTAAAAAAAAAAAAAAAACATTCTGTGTCCCATGCAATTAAGCTTTTTTTTTAAATATGTTAAGTTACAAAGTTGGTTAGTCTGGCATTTCAAAAATAAAACTTAAAAATTTTTCTATAGAAACATTGACTGTTGAAGTATTTTAAAGGAAAATGTAGCAACAGCTCAGATTTTGGGTAAAAACCTTCATGATGTTCAATTTAATTAATAGATACCGAGATTTCCCCCCAGTATAAAAATATTTCACAAATGTAACAACTATACGAGTCCTTAATTGTTACTTGACATTATATATTTTTATTCTATTATCTGTAAGTTTTAATACAGAAGGACTGGTTAAATATTCTTCATTTATGCTTTTTTAAATTATTATAGCTGTCCACAAGGTGGCAGCACACAAGTGTCTAATGAACTACTAGCATGTTATCAAGCAGAATACTGTTGAAACCAACAAATGTATAAAAAATTTTTAATATTTTAGTACTTTTGTAATAATTCTGGGTAAAACATTGACTTGACTTTCTTAATGAGCAAATAAATAAAATCAGTTTGCATTTTCTTACAACTTCAGAGTGTGCCACTAAAATATTGACATCTACCTTTATTTTTCCTGAACCATGTCCAAGTAGAGAAAACTTGGATCAATAATCAATGCCTGCAGTCTAAAACAACCAGCTGGATTAAGGTTGAACTATTTAACATTTAAATAACAAAAACAAATCTTGCAAAACGCATAATTTAAAAGGAAATTAAGCAAACAAAACGACTTGCTTGCATGACTTTCTGCATGACGCATAAACTGGAATGGAAGCAAAAATACCTGAACATGTGAAGACATGCTGGCTCCCATATTCTACGCAATAACATGCAGTGCTCAGCTCATGTTTTCCTTCCCAACATGAGCACCTTGGCATTCAAACAGTCAGTAAATCTCAAGCTGACATTCAGTCACACCTTCACACAATGAAGGTTTATTTTTCTTTCACAGAGAAGAAAAGGTAAAAGAGAAACCAAAACGGTTTTGCAATAGTTTCATTGCACCAGTATTGTAATATTACAACCACAAACATCCAACAAGCAGAGCACAACTCTGAAATGGACAAAAAAGTTGCAGAATCATGAATACCAAAGAATGCAATAGAGTTTATTTTCCTTCCACTTGGTATTTATGCACTACTTTTTATTGGTCTGACAGGAAACCCCGTTAAAATACATTGGAAATTGTGAAGAACAGAGTCGGCACATTCAGCAAAGGTAGAAAACCTCAAATGTTAGGAAAAAAAAACAAGCACAGATCAATCTGATTTATATTTTAGTAAAAACTGTACCTGCTTTATCTTTTGGTAAGCCTCGATGCAGTTAAACCAGGCCAGCACCGGGCCCTTGTCATCAGTGGATCCTCTTCCATAGAGTTTACCTACAAACACAAACCTTATGCTTTATTTGCATCTTTCTTTCTTCATTGCCTCCTGTAATTCTATTATAACTAACTCCACAAAACGTATATAATTTCGAGTTCTTAATGGTTTAAATGTCATATTTAGTCTTTTAAACCGAATATGTGACAAGACAGAAAGCAGAAAGAAGCTAAAGGCTAAACTGAACATCGCTGAGCACATAGGAGTCAGAAGGAAGTGAATGCGTTACTTTCAGTCAGCTGATTTTTAACCAAAGAGCAGAATGAAAGCTTCAGGATTAGTTTATACCAGTGGAGACATTTTACCATCGTTTGATTATAGCAAACAGGGATTTATTCATAACCCAGCTAAAGCAAATCAAAGCTACAGATTCTGGTGTGAGAAAATGTTTGACTCCTCACTTTTATCACATTTAAATCCTTTACATCGTTAAACAAATGGTAATATCGAACACAAGAAGCAGTTTTCAAATGATTTCATTTATTGTCGTAAATAAGCCGCTCAGACCAACCTGGCGCTGTGTAGCTCCCTCTCAATTACGACAGATTGTCTTTTTTCATTAAGTTTCACTCAAATTTGAACCATCTGAAGACAGGACATTGTCCAAACGACTGTTGGTCTAATATTTACAGTAAATTTGTTTGATGAACTGAGACAGAAACAAAAAAACAGAAAAGCAGATATCACCGAGCTGTGGCATTAAAAACAAAGAGAGCTCTTAATTCTTAAAAAACGGTTCAACCTGAACTCTGACGTCCTCAGATAAGAAACTGCAGCTCTGCTCAGATGGAAATGGACTTTGAATATGTGCAGCCAACTATGATATGACTACATGTTGATAAAAGCACAACGTCATCAAAATGAAAAGGCAGGTTTGAAAAATCAAAATGAAAACAGCAACCTTGATCTTTACAGACACAATGGATTGGAGCATTTTTTACCTTTAGCAGTGAAAAAGAGTCAAATTTGAAAGAATGTGATGCTTCAATAGCAGTGTGATAGAGTAACTTGAAGTCTGATCGCATCATTCAGATATTTTATGTCAGGCAGATAAGATACTGCATGTCTCCAAAATGCAGCCAAAGGCAACACAAACCGACTGAAAACAGAAACCTCAAAATTCATCTTTCTGGGTTTAGTTTCACACTTTTAGAAACGATTCCACATGTCACTTCAGGCCGTTTCATTTCCAGCCCTTTAATTTTGCATGTTAGGTTGCAAAGCTGCTCTGAACTTACCGTCTTTCTCCACCAGAGTGAACGGCTCGGTGTCCCAGCCGTCCTCGACCTGAGCAGGCTGGACATCCAGGTGGCCGTAAATACACACCGTCTTCTTGGCCGGGTCCGAACCCAAATGGCCAAGGATGATGGGAGGGAGCGGGATCTCCTCGCCAGAGGGAAGCTGCATGGGGAATCATTTTGGATGTTACTTTAGTCTTTTATAACCCTGTATTGATCATAACCAATAAAAAGGTGTAAAATGTAATTAATAGCATAATTATTCCAATCAGATTGAACTTAATTTGTGTTCTCAGAACCATAAAAAAGATGAAATCACCACCTTTTGTTTCCCGATGTCCACCAGCTCCACCGTCCCCCCCAACCTCTCGATATCTTTGGCCGCCATCTCCATCATCTTCTTGATTTCCCCGCGCTTTTCGGGCCAAGCGGACACACTCTGAACAGCGACCCATTCTCCCAGGCGCTGGGAGAAAGAACAAACTCACGGCTACTCAACGGCTTTTCAATCATTCTCCAGACTGAGAAGAAAACCAGTTAGGCTTCGACTAAATTTAACAACTGGTTTTACAATAATAGAGATTGGCACATACCAGTCAAATCTAGCTAGGTCACCTCACTGAAAACCATATGCAAAGTGAGAAAGTAAACGTCATTTATTTTAAGTAAATCAAGTAGGACAACCAACACAAAAATTAAGTTTATGCAACTTAAATTATACAAACTGATTTTCCTGACTAAGTCCTTGTCCTTCCTCTCTCACTTCTTGTTTTTATTAACATTTTATTGGAACGATTTGAAAGCAAGCAGGCAGGAAATTGGGAAATGAAGAGGGAAAGGTCATCAGATTGGGATCTGAACCTGTGACAGGTGCATTTACAACCGACGCCTCTATATGTAGGTTGTGTTTTACCCCTTCAGCACCGCAGCACGGCACTCTCCAACTTCACAAAATTACTAATTACATCAAATATTTGAAATGCATAATCTACACAAAAAAATACTTTAATAAAATATAAAGTAAAGATTCATTCATTCTCGACCATCACTGTCGTTTGCAGGTGTCGCTTGTTTACAGGAATACCAGAAACGCAACACAAAGATTCCCGATAGGGACTTTTGCATGTAAAAAAAAAAGGCAACCAATTGTGTTAAAGGCTCACAGAAAAAAAAAAAAAAAAAAACTAAAACATTAAGTTAATTGCCTATCTTAAGATAAAATGACACATGGAGACTTGTTCTGATGTTCTGGGGTGGGCAACTGCAGGCCTCGAGGGCCTGTCTCCTGCAACTTTTAGATGCGTCTCCACTTCAACACACTTGAGTCAAATAATGAGGTCATTAGCAGGACTCTGGAGAATTGACTGCACTTAGGAGGTGATTCAACAATTTGATTCAGCTGTGTTGGGCCGGGGAGACATCCAGGATACCGGCCCTCGAGGACCAGGATTGCCCAGCCCTATGCTACGTGGATGCACTCCTGTTCATAGAAACAGGAGCACATTTAATTATTGACTGTTTTACAGTCACAAATCAAATTAGATAAATTACTGGCTCCAGAAAATAAAAAACTCAAATGAAGCATTTGAACTTGGATGGAGGCAGCATTGAGTCAAAGTATTTTCCAACACAAGCAGAATTATCCAAAATGTACTTTTTATAAATTAATGCAGCTCAAACAGAATGAGTTTCACCCTTAAATTATAAGTAACTAAAAGGGAGCTCCTGTTCATAGACACATAAGTACTAAAAGGGAGCGATTTCATGAAAACTGATTTAAATCAACTTACTAGTTTCTCTTAAATGCCAATTTGCATTTACAGTGCAGTGACAATAAGCGCTACATTTAAGTGCTGGATGATGAATCATACCTTCACGTAGAGGTCCTGGTTTTCGTCCACATACTTGAAAAGTGCTGGGAGGTGAGCCATTTTTCCCCAACGACAGACAGGAGCTGAGGGTTAAAGCAGGCAGATTGGCGAGTTTAACTCTAACCCAGAGCAGATATATGAGAGCACAACGACACGCCCACCAATAAACCTGCTGACTTTGCACAAACTCCCTGAGTCAAAGTAAATGTATAAAAAGAAGACTCATGTGAGAAAGTTGCATCAGAGACATTTAACTTCCTCAAAGTGCAACTCAAAGTGAAGGTGTAAAGTACTTTGTAGAAAGAAATGCTTCCATTATTTTTACTCCTTTTATAACCAAGAACTTCAGTAGTGATCCACCAACACAAAATAGTAATTATTCTCTTTTTTTCCCCCAAATAAATCAGAACAAGTTATTCCCACAGTGAAACATGGTGGTGGGAGCATCATGCTGTGGGATGCTGCTCAGTGACGCTGGAGCTAAAACACAGAGCAATCTGGAAGAATATCTGCCAAAAGCCTGCAGACTGGAGCAGAGGTTCAAAACAATCCTAAACGTACATCCTGAGTTAACATGTTACAATGGCCCAGTCAAAGTTCAGACATAGATCTAGTGAAAAAAAAAAAATCTACCCTAAAAGTTTTTTCTTCCAACTATGTGTTGGTCCGTCACATAACATCTCAATAAAATAAATTTGTGCTTGCAACCTGATTAAATGCGCTAAAGTTCAAAATGTATAAACAATATTCCAAAGCAACACATATTTAAAGCTTTTCTCCTCCAACACTGAAAACTACGAGCTCATAAGTTGGTGCAGAGCTACAAGAACCTACATAAACATCTCACCATGTATTTGGGCTAAAGAGCCTTTAGCAAAACACACAACTTGACCTCAAGTGTTTAAGGAGACCAGAATGAAACTGACACAAACTTAAATGTTTTTCAGAAAAGACGGAGCCTGTTAGAAGGCTAACAGAACAGGTTAGCAGGCTGAGAGCTTCTACTTCCCGAACAGCTAATATTTTAGCTTTGACTGAGAAGATGCCATTCCCGGCAACATGCCGGTTTTAACAGAGCTCGTCAGTATTACCTGTGCAAGCCAAACGTTGTTCTTTTGCAAATGTTCCGGTTTCTTTTCAGAAGAGGAGCTGCAGCGCTGCTCAGTGGGAACTATATATAAGCGAGTCCGCCATATTGTGAGTGGCAGCTTCGACTGCAAAAACTGTTTTTTCCCTGAACAACAGACCCTTTTGTTAATTATCTAGATAATTAACATTATCTAGATAATATCTAACATAGATAATGTTAGATTATCTATGTTATAAAAACTAACAATATTTGCAGCAACTACAAAACCTTTTAAAATGAATTTATATTTCTTGTAGTTGGACCACTGAAAATAGACAGAATTAAACCCAATTGAATGTATTAATAATAAGAATAAGAAATAATAATAAATAAGGAAATAAAGAATATAAGGAAAATAATAAAATAAGGAATGAGAAATAACTAAGAACACTTAAAATATTGTCAATACTTATTTCAGTGACCAAAATAATGTGCTTAATGAGTTTGTAAATGTAGTCCTATATTTGCAGTATCAACAATATGCAATCTGTTGCCTAAATAAAATAGAATAGAACAGATGTAATCTTTATTGCCCCTAAGTAGTGATATTTAGACATGCCAGCAGCAAAGTGACAAGTAAGTCAAAGCATGCATATTCACACAAAATAAAACTATAACAGAAAGTAAGAAATACAAAATATTGTATTCCTAAACAAAAAGAAAATATCAAAGTGGTGATAAACGCTTTTCCATTGGTCCGATTTTTTATGTGAACAAAATCAAATATTCTGTCATTTTTAAACCAGAAATAAACTTACAATAACTCTTACACGCACCTCAAGCCGATTGAAGTTTTGTATATTTTTAATTTAGTAGTTAAACAAAAGACACGCAACTTCATTTATAAAGCAAAAGAGGTTTATTGAGCAAATTTATTGTACAAATTAAAAACAGCCACTCCCAATATGGCGGCGCCGTTGGCGCGTTGTGTGTTCTCCTCGCGTGGGGGGTTCTTGATCCTCTGGTTTCCGTTGGTTCCAGTTCAGCTGATGTCAGTCATTTATGCTGATGTCTGGGTGTGATTCTTTTCACGTGACGTAGATGCTTCCGGTTTGCTACTGACAGATAAAAATTTAAAGTAAAAACGTACAGCAGCATGCAAATAACAGGTGTAGCCTATGTCGGCTCCTTTAATTAAATAGAACAACTGTTATAGATTATGGCTGGTGTAGACCAATTATTCAAAAACAATAGTCATTAAAATGTGTGCTTGCTTAGATGTTATTCAATTAAAGCAATATCTTCTCATTTAACATGTTTATGTTTCTGCAAAAACTTGCAGAAGAAAATCATCATAAAGTAGAATATAGTCATTTGTAAAATCATTTAAACATAAAAACACCATAAAAAGGAAATATCACAAGTGTTCAAAAGTGATTAATGTGAAAGCCAGTGTATTGTCAGTCATCTACAGAAAGGCTTTTGATTGAAGAGTAAAAACTGTACCAAAAGGGTTTAGCTTCTGAAAGTCAGCAGAAAAGTTATTTAAGAAAAGACTTTATGAGCTCAATCCAGTTTTGAAACTTCATGGAAGTAGGCAGCCAGCATCTTGATTCCTTGAATGTAGTTTGATCTGGAGAATTTATATAAAGAACAAGATTTTAATTTAAAGAATAAAAACATAGCAGTTAATTTTATTTGATCTTTTCCATGTCTCCTTATGTATTTAGATAAACTATAAAATCTCGAACCTATTGATTTTTTCATTTTGTGAGTGAGCTCCGTCATCGGCGGATCCGATAGGAAGCAGCATGACGTTCCGGCCTGTCGCCTCCTGGAAGGTCAGAGTGACGGGAATGCTGCCGCCCTCACGGGTCAGGTCCGGCTCAACGCCAAAAACTTAAAACCAATAAAGCAAAAAAAAAAACAGGACCAAATAAATGAGGGAAGACATTCAATCAGTCATCTAAGATGTATCTACATTCTGATATTTAGACACAATAATTTATTTATATATCTGTGTACATTTTACTGCATGCTATTTTTATTTTTGTCCTGTTTGTTTTTTGTTGACATGGAAATACTCGAGTCTGCAGACTGGAAACAAAATCCACGCCCTGCATCAAACCTGTTCTCTGCTAGGCATATTTAACCTTTAAACAAGATCAGATATTTTTTACAGATGTCATCTTGACAGGTAAAAAGTCTGACAGTTTCTGCGTCCTATGTGCACAATAGAGCATTATCGAAGATTCTTCCTTCCATCAACTTCATAACCAAAACTGTTCTCTGCAAACTCAACTTATGAGCTCTTTATTTTTAATCTGCTGGTGTTTCAAAGACATCTACTCAGTTTTTTGTGATAGTATGCCATTTTTAATAACTACAATATTCTTATGTCGTACACATTTCTCCATTTAAAACAATATTTTATATTAACTTGAATATGCATGCTCCCATTTAACATTAGCTTCATATTCCCAAAGTAAATAAAACAATACTTCTAAGTTCAAACATTAAGAAAAAGATTTTACAAACCAAATATATTTGGGTAAGATCCACAAGAAGGACTCACATGTTAGTCCACAGCTGGGATTTGTAGCATTTTATTGAATTACTGCTACAATCAGACGATACATTTTACAAAAAAGACTTCCTTTTTGGGAAAAAAGGAAGTCCTGTTACTAAAAAAAACCCCAAACATGACTGATCCCATGTGACAGACACCAACCATGAACTGAAAGTAAAAAAACGGTACAAGAGAATCATCAGGGATTGTTGTGTCTTTGTCCTTATGTAAAATATTTTCATTCTAAATGCCACTGAAAAGAAAACAACCACTCCTTAAGTGTGTTTTGAATGACTCCTTTATTCTGCTTCACAAAGCAACTTAAACAGGATTTGCAAGTCATCTTGGAATTTATAAAACATTTTTTCCATAATATGTTTTTTTTTAAACAAAAACAAACAATAAACAGACTCTTCTAGTCACATCACTCAAAGAAAATCACTTGTAGGAATTTGCTTTGTGCTTGGGTAAAAAGTTGAAATTCTTCGGGACAGGTCCGAGGAGCATTTCACTGTAACGACGATGCAGAAGATTTTTCATTACAATTTAACAATAAGAACTTCACTTAATTAAATGCTCTGGCTCTTACCTGATCCTGATCCAGTCGTCAACATTTTGACTGGCCATCAGGGACTCCAAGAAGTTCCTCCCCATGTAATATGGCGGCCGCTCATTGATCTTCTGAGGAACTCGTTCCAACAAGCCAACGGGAATATATCTATATAAAAAACACAGCACTTCATACTTAAGGATTAATATGTTTAAGTACACGTCAACCAATGTGAACCTACCATCACATAATGGAAATTTTATCATGATTGTTTCACTGGGATACTAGGCATGAATATCAATGTTCAATGGAAGTGAAAAAATTGATATTTTTTAAAAGTATGATGATGATGATGATGTTGTTACAGGCCTGCACATGAAGGAGAGCCACTCCAGGAGGAAGTTTCGGGTCTTTTCGACGCCCCGAGTGTCGGAGCCCCAGTGCTCCAGCCCAAAGTTGGTGAAGTCCCTGAGGATGTCCAGCCGCTCGCTGGACGAGACGTCCCAGTGTCGGCTCTCCTTTATCTCCGTGAAGATCCAAGGCTTGATTAGGGCACCCCTTAGAAAAACAATACAACATTCAACAAAATAATGCAACAATTATGAAGAATATTTAAATCTAAATTATGTTTTAGTTTAAACTACTTTCTCTTTTAAATCCAATGGAAGCAGTAAAATAGATTTAAGTAATTCCAAATAAGTAAAAACTGTAAAACTGAAAGAGGTTTATGAGTTTCATCACAACTATAAATCCAGTGGCTCACATTACTTTCTACTTAAAGTATGTAAACAATTCGAACCTTGCAATCATGATGCCAGAAACACCGGTCTCTTTCGCTTTCACTGCGTCTTCATAAGACAGAATGTCTCCATTGCCTGGACCAACAAAAACAAGTTGCAGCAGTAAAACTACGTCCTTAAGCCTATAAAAGGTTTTACAGCCTTTATGTCAACACTCACATTCTTCCACCTTAGAAATGAAAAGGACAAATTGACGCACCAAAGAGTGGAACAGGGTCGGCCAGCTTGGCACATGTGCTGATGTAGTCCCAGTCGGCTAACTTTGTGTAGCGCTGCTCCCTGGATCGGCCATGCAGCTGCAAAACATCATCATCATACGTGATATGATGACGTCTATAAAAGTGACATCATCATAGAGGTGGACAAGGAAAACATGATGCATGAGAAGATTTTACAGATGAGGCGAAATCACTTGGGAATTTATAAAAATAAAATGTTCAATTGTCTACTGCTTAAAACTCTATTGAAAACAATTAACAGCAAATTTCTAATCAATTGCTAGTTTTTGAAATTCTTCTTACATGAGAATTTAGTAAAATTTCCCTTGTTTTAAGGTTTCTTCTCAGAACATGTCAAGTACACTTCTCCAGCCGTTTGAGACGAGACTCACCGTAATCATGGAGACGCCCCAGTTCTTCATTTCGCCGATGAGTTTGTGTGCGATGTTGGACTTCTCCTGAACACCGGTGCGGATCTTGACGGTTAAAGGGACGTCTAGGACCTTCAGGAAGACACGAGAACCACTTTAAGTTGTTCAATTTCTTAATGCCGTTAACTTTAAATCACAATTTCAAGCTACGCAGCAGCAAATACATAAAAAAAAAACTGTACTTACATAATTCATTCCTTTGATAATATGCTCAAATTTTCTGGTTCTGTTCATCAAGCCACATCCTCCACCCTGAAGCACAAACAAAACAGCCCTCACTGACGCAGAAACAGTTTAAGGTTTTGCCTCATAACTGCTTACAAATAAATAAATAAAAAACAACTGTGTGGAGTAACAACTGTGGATAAAACAGGAAATGTCAAGCCATCATTTTATTTCAGATATTTAAAACAAAAAAAAACTAATCAATAATCATTGAAAGTTTCCTCAGCCATATTGTCCAGCCCAGGTTCCTGCCACAACATGGCAGCTCTGGATGTTTAATTTGTGTTTGTTATGGGAAAATAAGGCTCGACAAGACCGGGCAGCGATTTTCAAAGTGAGAGAATAAAAAATGTTAACGCGAAAACGAAAAATCACAACAAACTAATGTGACAAGAAAAGAGAGGTTAAATAAGAGCTCACCTTCTTGTAGACCAGATCAATGGGGCATCCAGAGTTGATGTCCACAAAATCAACGTCGGTGTAGTTGTTGATAAGCTCCGCACACCGTGTCATGGTGTCAGGGAAACAGCCTTCAACCTGGAATAACGCCTCACACTTCAGCACCAGGTCCAGCCTCAGAAATCTGCACTTGAACTGCGAAGTGGAAAAAGCGTCACCTGAACACCAAACAGATCTTCGCTCTCATGCCTCTTCAGGAGGGCCCACTCCGACTGATGCCCCTGCAGCAGATTCGTGCACATGGCCATCTCCCCGCAGGTGATGTCTGCGCCGAAGCGCTTGCACACACGACGGAAAGGCAGATTCCCACACTGACAAGGCATAAAAAAAAGACAAAGTTGGATGTAAACAATATGGCGGTATAGTCAGGGCTTACACTTAAAATATGTTTAGATGCTATGTGACAGACTAAACACTATTAACATACATGTAGTTTTTAAACTATATTATAAGAATCTTAAAAGTGTGGAGTGCATTTATATTCAGGTTCCTAGGTTGATGCTTTTCACTGCAGTAACTTTTTCCCTGTTTCCATAATTAGAAAGGGTCCAAGAAAATTGTTTTTTGAATTTCTTGCCACTGATTCTCAATGAGCTTTACGTCTGGACTTTGACTAGGCCATTCCAACACATTAATATACTTCAATCTTTTTGTTTATGGTTGCTATTCATGGCAGATTACACTCTTTTTTAGCTTCGTACAAGCTAAAAAAGTGAAGCTAACTCTTACCACAGAAGAAACATGGTAAGAAACAGAAGAAACAATCCCACATCATGACACTGCCACCACCATGTCTTACTACAGGAATTGTAAACTATCAGAGGAAAGGAAGTACTAAACTTTTCTGACTTATTTGCAAGAATAATTGCACTCCACTACTTCGTGTTAGTCACATAAAATCCCAAAAAACACATTAAAGTTTTCAATTATAAAAAGTTTGAACAAAAATTAAACAAGCACTGTTTTTACTTACAGTTGTTAGAGGAGCAAGATAGAGCTTGTCTTGGAAGTCCACCTTGAACATAAAGACTCAAACTTTTAAAAATACTCCCAACTCTGCTGGTTTCTACTAGTACTCTTGGAAAAATTGTTATTTAATTAAAAGAAGAACTTTGGAGTGAATTTGACTGATATTTACCTTTTTCTTTTCACAGGGCCGCAGTTTGATAATGTCGGCATCAGTTAGTGGGCCTATAGTTTTTACTGGCGGTTGGATAACCGGACAAGTGGGCAGCTAGTTACAGAGCAAACATTTAAGTTTATACACCCTTAAAAATATAACAAATAAGACACTCAGTAGTAGGGGTAGTATAGAGTATAAGGCTGTACCGATTCCTCTGTAGAAACATGCTGAATTTCTTCTTTTGGCTCTGCAGATACCTCTGTTGTACAAACATCACCTGCATGATTAAAAAAAGGAATTGTTACATTTAAATTTGTTTATTTTTTACACGTTTGGATAAATCCATATTGTCAAGTTGATGCAACATTTGCTGTTTTGCAAAACGTTTTATTTCCTTTCAGTAAAAGGAACATGTCACTGAAATGAGTGTTTATCAATTATTTGATTAAGAAAATAAGTTTTAGTTTGTAACATTGGTTTGAGATTCATAATAATGTATTCTTTAAAGCCACTCCCTTAAATTGTGAGCTTAGGATGGTTTGGACTCTTGTTTTCCTTGCTCATGGAAAGAATTCCTGACCCTGGGTTGGTTTATAGCTGCAAATCCTTCAAAGAAGCTACTGCTGCCATTAACTATGTTTTATCTTCACACACACACAAAAAAAGTCATTCTCAGAAATACTGTTGCCATGAACTCTGTACACCTTTAATGTTTTTATTTCTAATTGAAAGAATTTCTAGTTTACTGTTTAACAAGCTGATTCTTATTCCTGGACTTTATGGTTGCCAAAGGCTGTCGTTCCTCACAACAAGTTTATTCAAAATGAGTAAGCATTTTGATACAAATGTCGGTTTTTCCTTAAAGAAATCGCTCTTTACCAATTATCTAATGGACTGAATTTGAATGCAATCTGTTTAATGCAGACTTTAGTGTTTATGGATTTATTGTAAAAAATCCAACATGTGTGTAAAACTTTAATGAAGCTGCTTATGTTTAATACAAAGTTGGGGAAACTGACAAGAAGGCTGATAATTTCTGTGAATGGCAGAAGCCATGACTTAATGAAGACTTTGTGACTCTGATAACAGAAACAATTCTGCGTCTTACCATTGCCCTGCTGTTCCTTTTTATCTTTGTTGTTGGAAAGCCTTTTCAGGTATTCCTCTGACTTTTTGAAGATGACAGAACGTTTCCTCAGGCGATACTGCAGATCTTTACTCAGGCTGTTCTTCACCAAAGTCCTTCCTTCGTAAGCTTCGACCAGCTCTGCCTTCTCCATGGTTTTAAAGTCAGCCGTAGTGTGCGCCTTGGCAAAGCGGCAGGCGAGCCCGTATTCACACTTTCCAAATGTGTCGTAGAGGTAACAACGTTCCCCGATGTCGGCAGGCTTATTGGCCAAGTACTCTGCGACATCATGGTAAAAGATGCATTTGTCCCCAAACTTACATTCACCGTTTTTCTAGGAATGGTTAAAAAAAGTCAAGAGAATAATCAACATTTACAGGAATCTGAAAGGATTGCATGCTGCAAAAAAAGAAGCAGGAAATACAATCTACCTGAATGACTGACATACACAGTCGCTTTTCTTCATAAGTGGTGGGTTTTATGTGTGGCCTCGACTTATTCTGACCTCGAAATCTTTTCTTATCCTGTTTTTCTACTTTCTTCACATCTTCAGGGTCCAGTTTGGGTTTTTTACATTCAGGTTCCTCCACAAAGGGAGCCTTTTTCTCTTGTTGCATCTCATTTTCAGCTGCTTTTTCTCCTTTGGAGCCCTGCCATTCTGAATCCAGAAAGCCATGAAATGCATCTTTGGTGGTGAGAAATCTGCAAACAAAAAAGTAATTTTTAATTTTTTTTAAATACTTCAAAAACAGATCCCAAAGCAATATTTAAAAAGATTTGTCAAGAATGCCAAAATACAAGCCAAAAACGTTTAATAAATCAATCACTTCACGAGTCTCTATGAGACTATAGATTGTTTATCTTAACTCTGATAATAAAAATAAAACATTTGCACTCAACAGAATGTGTGCAACTTCCCTTTAAGGACATTTCTTACATATTTTCCCAATAAAAATTTCATATTGTCTTAGACTGAAATTTCCAGCGTTCTCTATCCATTTTACCTCAAAGTCAAAGTGATGAATGGATCCATTAAAATGGATGGATGAATGGAACATTATGAAAATATAATAAGTTTCCTAATACCCCTATATTTATGTAGATTTCTAAGACATTTAAATCAAATTCCAGCCTGTAAAAATCTTTCACAGGCTTTATTGTGCTTTTTTTTGAGTGAGAAAAACAAAAGCAACAAGAACTTTTGTTGCATATTGAAAAATACCCAAATGCTACTGACAGTGCAGATACTTTCTGCATCCTGCATAAGTAGACAATGATAAAAAGATAACTGATTTGACAAAAGTAAAAACTTTCACTGACATTTCTGTTAGCTTCAACAAAGGCAGTGAGAAGTGCTGAGTTGAAGCATGAACTGCTATCATGTTGAAGCTGCTTCCATAAGATATGTTGTGATGCTCAGTCCTACCAGTTCAGCGCTCACTCTAGTGTCCAGTGTTGATGAACGCTACTTACTCTTGTTTGATGGCAGCTTCACCTTTCACAGCTACATGTGTTGCTGTTTCTGTGGCGTCTGCCGCTGATGCCTCCATCACTTGGTCAAAGACTCACTCACTATTCTTACTCAGAAATACTTTGATGAAAGATAAACAGATGAAGCAGAGTATAACTGAGTGTTCAATACAAAGAACATTACCAAACATTTGTGGTTTGTATATGTAATAATTGGAAATTTGTTTCATATGCCACTATTTTTATAAAGATTTTAGATTAGATTACACAGATTAGGCACTATTTACATGACTTTCAAAGGCATTTGGTTGTGAGAATGTGTGTGAAATTTCTTTAACCATGTATCATTGTGGTCAATCACATAAACAACCAAGATGAGCTCCAGCTTCTGACTATAGCACAAAAAATACAGTTCCAGTTTTTCTATTAAAAAAAATAAATGCCAACTTCAAATCAATGCCAACTCCTGAGATTTCAGGAGCCTTTTTAATGCAATATTTTCACGTAATTATGTGTATGTTCGCAGCATTTTTTAATTCCAGTTATCCTGGAGATTTGATTCGGATTATTTACCTTCAGTCTGAACACGTTTCACTTGCACCAGCTGTTCTTGGTTTCAGTAGCGAAGCTCCACTATATTATGTTGCACCTAAATGCAGTCAAAACTACTAAATCTTTACGAGTCAATTTGATAAGATCACCAGTCCACAAACTCTATCTCACCTGTTTCTTTATCAAGTTGTCAAAACAGTTACTGTAACATGAACTGCTCCAGCAGCAGTTAACTCAAAACTCTGCTAGCAAGCTAACCAGTTAAAGCGCGTTTTTCCGCAAGCTAGCTGCCAACTTACTGTTAAATAAAAAGCTTAATGTGCCTGGTTAGGAGCTGCAATAGGAAAGAAAATCTGTACAGATAACCTTGACTATCTAAATTCACTTTCTAACAAGCAAACCGTGCAGTTAAATCTCACCACCTTGTGGTAAGCGATGTGCATCAGTTTAATTATTCCCGGAGAAAAAGTCTAAACATTGGTTCCGCATGGAGATCTCCAACAATGTGTCAATTTTGCAAAGTATTTTTAAGTAAATGTCGAACATAAATGAAATGAGTTAGCATACAAAGTGCATGTCTTTATACTTTAATACAGAAATAAACAGACATAATAAACATGATCTATTGTTAAGCATTACTTCATGTTCAACAGCTAAAAGCACCTGAAACGATTTAAATAAAGCTACAGATTATGTATTTCTTTGGGCAAAGTCAAAAATTTCAAATGGTTAGAGCTTCTCATGTGTGCACAGATCATTACAACAGTGGTGCGTAGGAATTAACTGAATCTTTGAGGGAGCGTTTACCTGTCAAACATGGCAACCTCTTTTTTTCTTACAATTAAAAATGACTCCTATAGAGACAAAGAAATTACTGACACATTAATTTGTGAATGAAATGTTACAGAATAATCATGAAAACCCTATTGAATACAGTGTAATAATGCAATAAAATGCACCAAATAAAGAAATGTGTGACTGAATAACAGATAAAATGTTTAGAAATCTCCACAAATAGAGTATCTGCCAAATTTAGGAGTGGCAGGTTAGTAGTTTTTTGTTTGTTTGTTTGTTTAGGATTTAGATTTGGGGACTGAGATGGCTTTGGGTAAAAGCGTACTCTGTGTATGGTGAAACATTTCTGCGTTATTTTGGATCATTGGCGGTTATTATAAAACCCAATTAAACTGTCTCGGTTTTATATAACTTAATATTTGGAAAACAAGTTTTTCTTGACATTTCTGCCAAACAAACAAACATGTGAGAGGCATCTAATGGTTGTCATGAAAACTTTGTAAGCTTACGATGCCACTTTTTGCTATGCTAAAAATTAGCCTTGAAGATATTTCTAGAACTTTATCATCTTCACTCAACCAGCCTCCTAACTAATAAAAACGGGCATCAGTGACGCATGTGATTTTAATCTTAGGAAATCAATAAACAAAAACTTTAAAAATATTGTTCAACTTATAAAAATACAGACATTGCTCTGATTAGCTTTACTTTAAAGTAATTGTTAAAAATAATTATTTATTTTATTCTCAAAATTAAATGCACAGACATTAGAGATTGAATTTTTATATATTTCTGAGTAAAATTATCCTACTGTACACAAGACTTTTTACATATCTTTACTAGGGGTGCAGATAAATGTAGCCGTACATGGACAGATATTTTTTATCACAGCAAAATCTGCTGCATTCACTCCTCAGAAATTGCAGAAAATTTTTCCACCTTTGCTTCAAATCGTTTCTTGCTGGAGTCCAGGATATTGATCCCATTTTTCTCAAAGTCATATCCAACTCTCTGCAGTGCCTTCAGTCGCTCTTTGATGTTCTGGATGCTGTAGTCCAGGACTTTTGGCTTCTCCAAAATTTGCTCAATGGTTATTCCTCCCTTTAGAAGACAGTCCAGTTTGGAGTTTATAGTGGCTGCGCTGATGTAGATAATCATGGGGTAGTTTAATACTAGTTTTTTGATGTCGCTGTTTTTGTAGCCTAGTAAGGACATCTTCTTCTCAAGGCTGTGGATGTTTTTCTTCAGATAGTCGCTGGAAAGGTCCAAAATATCTCCTCCATTTCCCTCCAAAAGTGCTAGCAGTTCGACATCACTTAACATCAGAGAGGTTTTTAGAGTGTTAATGTTGGTCCTGACTCTTTTAGTACTTTTGATTAGTATATACATGTTTTTAGATATTATACTTGTAGCAAATTGTTCAGGATTTTGTCCACCCAGCTCCAGACAGATGTCTTCAAGACACTCCACCATCTGCTTGTTCAGCTCCACAGTGTTGGAGATCGTCCTGGGTGCTGTGCTCAGCAGCCGATGAAGGTTTTTGGAGTTTAATCCCAATGAGATCAAGAAAGCAATGTTCTTCTTCAAGGCCTCGTTGTCACTAGAACGGAAAAAAGACTCCGGTGAACGCTCCAGGATGCTCAAGATCTCAGCGTCTGTGTTGAAGACGCTTCTCCACAGCTGCCAGCGTTCCTTCAAGTGATCAAGTGACCGGGTGATGGCGCGGGGAAAACGGGACACGATGCTGGCGATTACTTTGTGACTGGCGCCTTTTTCTTGCAGGAACTGAGCGAGGCCCATCTCGTTGGTGAAGGACCTTCGGAGAACACCTGGCTGACGCTGGCGCGCCATCTTTAAGTCCACTCCCAACACATTTAAGTTCGCAAGTAGAGATTTATTCTCTGTGTCTGTTTTCAGCTTTGGGTCATTACCGCCACTGCAATGCCTCCAGGTGATGCAGTTTGATGCTAGCTGTAGCGGTGAACGCCTAAAGCTCTTCTGCAGATTGAGTGAACGATGGATACGAATAAGGGCTCTTATACCAGAAACTGCAGCCATATTTCCTAAAAGGAACCAGAGATCCATTTAAAAGAAACAAAACAATATATGTTATAGCATTTCTTTGGTTAGAAATGATACAAAATAAACAGTAATCTAAATAAGTAAGTCATAATAAAGTGACTTGTTTATTTCAATGTTCTGGTCCTTGAGCAATTTTAATTTCCCTAAGATTCAAATCTATTTTTGTGCATTAACAGTAACTAAAGAAAAATTACATTTACTTTCCAAATATTGTGAAAAAGTCAATCTAGAACTTTTTCACATTCTGTCACATCACAAACTCAAACTTATTGGGATTCTACTGTATGTTATAAGCCGACACAGCAGTACATTGCTTTGAAGTGAAAGAAAACTTATACATGAATTCTCTCAAACTTTTCCAAAGAGTAGTATTTTCAATCAGCCTTCTGGTACGACATAAACCCAAAATACATCCAGCTGAACCTGCTGCAAAAGTTGAAGGGTGGGAATATGAATATTTATTGAAAAACTGTTTAAATATGTATGTCTGACTTTTAGTAAGAAAAAGGGAAATACAAATAAGCATTAGTTTTACTTTTACTCTATCAACAACTTATGTTAAATTATGATATCACAATAATAATGTATTATTGTTATCTTTAAGATGTTGTACAAATTTTATTTAGAGTCTGGAAAATTTACTTCCTAGAAGTGACATGCACACAGCATCTACCCAATCACAAAATGGGATTCACTGAAACCAGAAAAGCTAATCTAACGTGAAATTCTGGTGAAGAAAAGTTTTTTCACGTCTTATTCAAACATCTGAATTTAAAACCACATTTGGTAAAAGTTAAATTCAAAACAACACCGTCGATTTGCTACGAGCATGAGAGTAATTTAAGCCTAATTGATATGATGGGAAAGCCTATATTTAGCAAAAACACTTGAAAGTCTTCCTTTAGTGTTAAAATTTAAAACAAACATACCATATTCCGTTTTTCGACTTTACTTTTCACGCTATACCTTTTGAACGTACCAGAGGAACCGAGAACTTGGATTAACTCTCGCGAGATCTTGAATTTGATGAGCGAGTGTATGGAAGCTGACGCCCTCTAGCGTTTCGGAGTTTAAACTTGTTTCCCAGTTTGTTGTTTTCGCCAGTAGGCAGCAGCAGAGGTCTTCATTTTAACGTGAACATGAACGTTCATAAAGAAAAAAAGGAACTCTGGGACACTTATGATGATTCTGTATTTAAGAACATTCAGACATGATGACGTTAACCATTGAAGTGAATTATTTTTAGATAAAAAAAAAATCTTTAAAAAGCACTGCAACATTTGCACTCATTTCATTTGTATAACACCTACAGAAAGCAGTGGGGAAAGAGGACTGAGGCCACTGAAAAAACATCTGATTTGTTCTCATATTTGTACCATATTTGCTACTTTTTAAAATATTTGACAGAAAACCACTCAATTAAGAAATTAGATTTTCACATACAACTTAGGAATGTTAAATAGTAACAGCTTTTAACATTCTACGTGTTTTTGTTTTTTTACAGTTCTCAAGCATCTTGTATATCTCTAGAATTTAAAATGTACGTTTTTTTTTTTTTTTTTTTTATTTGAACAAAATCAGTCCATCCCGCTTTATATGTGCTATTTTGCATATGTGCAATTTGTTTGAAACCTCACTTTTTCTTTTAATTTTCAATTAAATTTGCACTTTGATTTCACTCAAGCAACATCAAAGCCTCGGTTTTGGGCATTACTAGCTTGATTCATTTCAGCCACATGAGAAAGCATTGTGCTGCAGCTCGCAGCTGAAAAACCTATTGACTCGACTGCCTCTCTTACTGATGAGTCCCACCACTTATGAATATTTTACAGCACTGTGAAACATCGCTACATTATGTGTTCGCTTTGCTGCTCTGCTACTGAAGTGACCCATGTTTCAGTCACAACCTTTTCTGCACTGCCGGCCTAGAAAGCAGTATTTTGTTTTACGTGAACAGTTCAGACGGTGTCCATTATTATGAGAGATAACAGTGCTCCTTTCATGTTTTATATCAACTGGGAGCTCAATTATGATCTGCTTGCACATGTTGTAATACAAATTAAGCGCACTGGCTAACCTCAAGCTAAAACTAATGCTAGTTAGTTATTTTCTTTTGTGAAATTGGAAGCATTTGATGTAAACACTAAGAACAGCATTTTATTGATTTATGAGACAAAAGAAACATACAATTATCTAATGAAGATGTTTTTCTAATTTTTACTGACATGAAAAACTGCTGTTGAATATTCAGATATTAATATTCTAAATTTTACCCACCAAATGATTTGAACAAAATATTTCAAATTTGTTTACATTTTAAGCAACATTTTTTTTTACTAATATTATGTAAAAAATAATTTCTCTCCTAGTGGTTTAATATGTTTCTTACTTCCTCTGAAGCTCCTCTGACTTTTTTTTCTTTAAAGATATAAATTAGGTCACGCATAAATTTATGGGCAACATGGTTTTAATATTACATCAACTCCTGTCTTGATCCATTTGTTGTGGTCCTTTCTGCAAAGTTGCTTGTGTAACTGCAGACACAGAACACAACCGGAGCGACTGAATAATTCAAGAAGTGTCGAAACTTTCAGATGCTGGTGGTTACTCGTGGACGCTGTTGCTCCAGCAGCAGGTGTCCCCAGGAGGGAGTGTGTGGATAAAAAAATGTCCAAAAGACGATGGGTGGAATTCAAGATCTGCCAGACTATAAGTTGTTCAGCGCCGGTCAGCCGAAGACGCAGAGAGTCCTCTCCAGCTGCCACTTCAGCCACTACAGGTTCGTCTCAAAACAAAATGAAACTTTACATTTTTTTGGAAAGTAACGACTGTGTAATCTCACGCTTCTATTTTTTTTCTTATTCGTAAATTTACCAACTAGATATCAGTGTTTCTGTAAACATTGGGGGTTGCAACAATATAAAGCATGTAAATGACAGTGTTACAAAAGAGCACCTTTTCTACTTGAGCAAGAAATAAGTGACAAATGAAGAAGTGTAAATATTTATTTAGTTTTCAAAATGATCAATTAACCTTTATTTATTTTTTTTTTGAATGCATATGTAGGTCAGCTATCTCTAGTAAAAATAACCACCATGTTTCACAAATGCTTGTAAAAGTTCCCTTTATATTTTCCAAACAACTGCAACCCAAAGCCATCTTCAAAATAATAAAACCTGCTTTTAATTACAAAACATCATGTAATTATTCTGACATTTATCTAATTTGGAGTCTGTTAGAGAAAATACTGACAGTCTTTTCCTGTATCACTGCCATCTGTTGTAGAAACCGACGCCAGGCTCTCAGGTTACCTGCAGGCTTTTAGCCACAGAACCTTTAATGATTCCTTAAAGGGGAGGACGTTGCTCTTTTTTTCACCAGAAATGAGCTCAGAGTTAGTCTATTTATATATATTCATACAAAATGCGAGGTAATTACCAGTTGTTTATCAGCTAATGTTAAAATGAGATAATGTCGCCAAAAAAGAAAGATCAACTGGGACAGCTCTGGCGGCCTCTCCTCCCATTGCCATAGAAACTAGACGGAGTAATTCATGCTGTAGATTTTGCAGTCAAAGTCGGAGAATCACAGTCAGATAATAAAATACTCATCGTTTCTATCTGTATACCAGCTGTTAAAGTAATTCACAATAAAGTGTAGTTTCTATTATTATTCTGTCCCTGTCATTAATCAACTTTACTGCTAATTGTATGTTTCTTCACAAAATGGGCGTGTGTTGATGTAATTTTCATATTTAAATACCTGAATTGAATTTTACTGAAGGTACATTTATTAAAATAAGACATTCACACAAAAAAACTATTGGTGAATTGTATATCTATTTAAGATATATTGCAGATAAAATAGACTATCCCCCTTCTGTGTTCCATTAGTTACTGTTTTTTAAATACTTTTTTATTTACGTCAAACTTGCCTTGCATTAAAAACATGAAAGGAGTTTATTATATTTGTGGATAATATGGAGTAATTTTGTGCTTTTCTGACATCAAGACAACATAGGTAAAAAAAATTTTTTTTAAATGGCGTCATAAATTTGGTGAATTCAGCACTGAATTATTATTATGATTTTGACTTGGCCACTCTAAAATTTTTGTCTCATTTTTCACACTTCAGAGATGTAGAGTTGAAGGTGAGCTTTGGATCGCTGTCCTTCTGCATAATCCTCGTGAGAGTGAGGTCTACATTGTCATTTCTCGTGGTTGAAGCTCTATGTACACGATCAAAACTTGGTTTTTCAACATATTAATGATCCAAAATATTGCTTAGCCAAAATAAATATAGAATTTTAAAACCTCCCATTCTGTAGAAAGCAAAATAGAAGAACCCTGACCTATGACCTAGAGGAATTGTCATCTCTATCTTAATGCTCTGACTTTCTGAAATGTTGAAGATAATAAAATATTAATTCATGTTGAGGCTTTTCACTGAGGGACTAACAATAATTATTTAGTTAAATATATATTTTTAGATAGAAGTAGGAATCTCAAAGATAGTTTCATTTTAATTAAACATTTCACAACAACAAACTCTCTAATTTGGAAAAGTATAGAATAATTCAGTGCAGATTTCATCAAATTCATATGGTGCCATTTTTAATGTTGTTTTTTAGGTTCATGTTCTCTTGATGCCAGAAAAGAATAAAATTACTTCTTTTATTCTTTTCACAAATATAATAAAGTTCTTTTTGTGTTTTTAATCCAAGGCAAGTTTGTTTGTACAGAACATTTCAACAATACAACAAACAAAACATTACATTGCAATAGCAAAATAAAAAAGGTAAATAAAGGTTGACTATACTTACTGATATTTCAGATAATAATAATAATGATCATGCTTTTTTTTCAGCATTTTTGCAATTTTCTGGCAATTGTTCCAGATAAAAACTTACTGCTGCTTCTCCATGTTTGGCTCTGATTCTGTGGATACAGAGTAAACCTAAACCAGAAAACCTGAGAGGCCTAGAAAGGATTCATGTTAAGAGCAATCCAGACATAGTAGGATGAGTCTAGATGTTTAAAATGCAGCTGATAAAATGCAGTCCGGATTACAAAAAACCCCCAAAAAACATAGGAAACACAGTGTCCTTAATCAAATTGGTAAGCTAATTCAATCAAAAAAAGAAAATTGGTTTATGGGGGTATTTAACAGATATTTTTAACAAATGTAACTCTTTCATGCATAGCGCTCACTGCAGTAGACAGTTATCTAAAATATATTTTCTTGTGTTTTTTGTGGGTTTTGGAGTGGACACTAGTGCATCATATAATACACTATAAACTACAATATAAAGAAAATCTTTGTTAATCCAAAATGGCAGACAGTCTCTCCTTCTATTGTAGAGAACTCTTGCAGGTAAAAAGTATATTGTGACATCAACTAACTCCAAAATACTATGACTTCTGATGTATTTTCCAAATGACAACTTTGTATTTGAAGAAAATTACAGCTGGAAATTTTTTTTACAAAAACTTATTTTCTCCAAGTTTTTTTTTTTTTTTGATGCATTAAGAAAGTTAAAAACACTTTTAAAAAAATCCTGTCATAAAGGATCATAATTCATGCATGAACGGGCTGAAACGTAAAATCAGTGTAAGAGGCTTCATGTTTTAAAGAAATTACTATAAACTGCTTGCCATACAAATAGCACCAGTGGGCGTGGCTATGAATGCACCTACCCTACGTCATCACAGTAGAGTCTCATGTTTACGTGGAAAATATGGCGGCGGACTACAATCAAGGAGATAGCCAGTGATTGGGAATCGCGGCATTGGAGAGACAGCCCGCTTTCCGCTGTGAGACTTCCTTTTCCTGCTGGACATTTCTTATGAAGCCGTTTTCTCCTCGTTTCAGTCTCGGAGTCAGCGGGAATGGAGGACGAGGAGAGGCAGAAGAAGCTAGAGGCCGGCAAGGCTAAGGTAGGATTCAAGACTCCCGAACGTCCTCTGAGTGCAACAAAGTTACAGCGTATTGTTCTGGT